AACATTAATTGGTGATTAAGCACAGAAACCATAATCTTTATACAAATACATATTTTAAAGTATAATTTTTATTTTTATTTTTTTGCAGTACTGGGGATTGAACCCAGGGGCACTTTGCCACTGAGCTACATCCTCAGTCCTTTATTTTTTATTTTGAGACAGGGTCTCACTAAGTTGCCCAGTCTGGCTTTGAACTTGCGATCCTCCTGCCTCAGTCTCCCAAGTAGCTGGGATTACAGGTGTGTGCCACCACTCCTGGCTAAAGTATAATTTAAAAATAATGTACAGTTTGGAGATTGATTTTCTTCTTATTATTGAAGCACTTAAGGTATTCATTAAAAATGGAGACTCTAAGTATTATATTGGTTGTTGCATATAAAACTATCGCCATGGCATTAGAAAAATGAAAGAAGTATAATGAAGAAGTATAGAAGTAAAAAAGTATAATTGAAGATTTCACTAAAATGTGATTCTTTTATTTTACCAGGATTTTAAATGTATTTCGCCATTGGGTTGAACACCATTTTTATGACTTTGAAAGAGATGTGGAATTGCTTAAAAGACTGGAATCCTTCATTTCAAGTGTAAGAGGTATATTATTTAAAGTTTTGATTGACTCTTATGTTGCACTTGAGCTTATTTTCAAAATTGTATGACTAAGAATGTAAATTGCTTTCCATTTTTAAAAAGCTTAAATAACATTTGGAATGATCTTTATAGACTCCAGTAAGCTCACATATATTTAGAACCATATAAAGTCTTAGAACCTTGTCTTCTCATATTTTTATTTGTCTGCGATGTTGAGGATCAAACCAAGGCCCTTGCACGTGCTAGGCAAGTGCCATACCATTGAGTTATACTCTTAACCCCCTTTTAAGTTTTTTTTTTTTAAATTTATTTTTTAGGTATAAATGGACACAACACAACACCTTTATTTCTATGTGATGCTGAGGATCGAACCTGGGTCCTGCCCGTGCTAGGCGAGCACTCTACCACTGAGCCATAATCCTAGCCCCCTCTTTTAAGTTTTTAAGGAGAATATTGCTTTTAAAAGTGTCAAAAGTCCTTTTTAATAAATTAAAGCTATTAAATTTTATGTCACCTCAAGTTTGCCATTTTTTTCCATTAAATAAATTATATATATATATATAAATAATATAAAATTATATATATATAATTTTATGCTTTTTGTTGTTGTTGTTTTGGTACTGGGGATTAAACTCAGGGGCAGGGCACTTGACTACTGAGCCT